CAGTTCTATAATCAAAAGAGGATCAATTTCAATTTCAATTTTATGAAAATTTATGCATATATATAATTTCAATTTCAATAAAATTCAATAAAAAGAAACTAACCTGTGATTTTTTTTCTTGTTGTTCTTCTTGTTGTGATGGGGACTCCCCTTGTGAAGATCGATGGTGAGTGGCTGGTGGTCACGGGACATAAAAGAAAATCAGAAAATGTGATCGTTCAAAATCGTTGTTGGGTTCCAGCAATAAAATACGAAGGGTGGTGAAGGAGATAACCTGGAACAATGGGCGCCGGTGAACAACTCTCGATGGGAAGTTCTGGCGGCAGAACGGCCGGTGGTGCTTCACCACCGGTGAAAACCTTTAAACACAAGAAAACCCAAATTTGGGGTAAAAATCATTACCACACATCAATATTCAACGAAATAGGAGTAGAAAAGGTTTACCTTGGGCTAATCGTCGGGTATGATGGCTGGAATCGGATTTTCGTCGGAGGAAAAAGATGGGTATGTGTCGCTATGCAAATGAACGAAGGTTGCGCATTCTTTAGGGTAAACCCCTATGCCGGCGACAAGTCGTCAATATAGGGTTAAATAAACGACGCCCTTTCAATATTTTGCTGAAACAAAAAAAATTAAAAATTAAAACCCTATGGCGACGACTTGTCGTCTGGATAGCTAGCACTGTGATGCGGATCGCCACGTGTCATGCCTACGACAAGTCGTTGGTATAGCATATGCAAAACTACGTCGTTTTGTTTTTCTAGAACATGGATTAAAAATAAATGGAAACTATATTTTTTTATACATATATCGACGACTTGTCGTCGGTATTGAATTTAAGAATACCGCCAGTATTTCATTGTTCCCACCAGAGTTTTTGCCGACGACTTGTCGTCGACATAGGGGTCCTAGTCAAAGTAAATTAGTTAAAGTTCGCAAATCGTATGGCGACGAGAAGTCGTTGGCATAGGGGTACTTTTAGCGACAACATCTGTCGTCGGGATAAGTGTCGTCTGCATAGGTCCGTTTCCTAGTAGTGTACCCATGAATTCATATTCAGGCGAAAGCTTCATCGTGTCTTTAACATGATTCAACTTCTCCATTGTGCTACCCCAACCCTAAAATCTATTTGCTGTTGTAACAGACAAATAGACATGAGCATAGGCAGGTATCATATCGAATTGTTCTTGAACGAGCTTACCACAAACATTCAATGTTACATTATGAGTACGGGGTCTATGTAAGACCAACAAAGTTCCTAACATATTAGGTGAAATTGTGCGCATATTTTCCTTTGATTGGTGCGGTTTTATCATAAATTGTCTTAAACCTTGTAAAAACAATTCGAAGAACGACGAACCAGTATGTTATTTCATTGGTCCTGTCATAATATTATTTGGTAAATTTCATAAAACTTATTATGTTTTCAATTTTTTGTGATTTTAAAACTGTATTTTTTGTTTTTTTCAATTGATTAAGAAACCATATTTTACAATTTGTTGCAACGTTGACCATTTTTTCGGTTGCCACTGTTGAAATGACATTGGACGCTGACGTGACACTGTTTGGTAGTTATCGTGCGTGTGATTCGTAGGTTAGAAAAACAAAACGAAAAAAAAATGATATAAAATAGCTTTACTTGTTTTATGCTTAAAAAAGAAAAACAAATGTGTTGTAATGTAATTAATAATTTTGCATCTGTTCCATTTAGAAAGTAAAACATAACACTTGCATAGTAAAAACAACTTATTAAAGTATAATAACATTGACAAATAAATATACATAAATACATGTTCCAAGCAAAAGCATTCTAGCTAGCAAGAAGCTAGGATTACAAGACATTAAGACATTCAACCTTTGGATCTAAACACCAGTTAATTAATATACTTACCATGAGTGAAATGCATTAGGTTCGACTGCCTCTTTCATTTGTTCAAACACGTCCCAAAATACCAAAATTTAACTTTGCATGTAAATAAAGCTTTTATAAGCTTATCAGTTTACCAAACATATTGTCTACAAAAAGCATATATAATAAAATGCTACCAAAGTTTTAAACATCTTAAATTCAAAATCAAATGTCACTAGGTGACATCTAGGCTTCATCTAATTGGATAGGCTTGTCCAAACTGCTACCTCCACTCTTTGTCATAAACAGCCTTCCTAATCTTTCATCTTCACTTGCCTCTTAGACTTCCTAAACTTCTTAAGAATCCTAGCATGAAGAGCATTGAGACTAGTCAACTTATGGAGTGCAAGAGTTTGTTGGGTAGTATTCAACTGTCCAACAGTACCCACTGCAGCTTGATCCCTAGCATCTTGAACCGCTCCATCATGAACACCTTCATTTTGAACACATGCATCTGGAACACCCTCCACCCCTTCACCTTGACCCATGTTTGGTTGAGCCCGTTGAACTTGAAACCCTGCTAGAGATTTTTTTTTTTTTATCAAAATGGTCATTTTTACATTTTTGTTCACTTAATTAAGGCATTTGGACCACTCAAAACTGAAATATAAGAACATCTTGAACCCTGCAACAGTTTTTTTCGGTCAACATGACAGTTTTTACCTTTTGGGTCAGTTTGGTCATTTTCACCATTTTGGTGTTTTTGGTCAGGTGGACCGCATTTGGCCTTAACCCTTACGCCTCGTTCCCGAGTTTAACAAAAGAAAAGAAGAGAAGAGAAAAGAAAGTCACGAGAGAAAAGAAGAGAAAGGAAAGGAAAATAAAATTTTCTTTTGTGTTCCCGAGTTGGAGAGAAGCGGAAGGAAAATGAATCATTTTGTTATTTCTTTTCAAATCCTCCCAAATCGGAAGGAAAGTTAGGAGGGAAAGTGATCCTCCCATTTCCCTCCACTTCCCTCCTTTAATGAAACTCGGGAACACCAATTTCTTTTATTTTCTTCTCATTTCCACTCATTTCCTTTCTTTTTTCTAGTTAAGCTAAACTCGGGAACGGGGTGTTAAAGAATTTAAAATTTAAAGATGATTAATCTGGAAAGTATCAAACTATGCTATATATATATATATATATATATATATATATATATATATATATATATATATATATATATATATATATATATATATATATATATATATATATATATATGAGTTTCAAATAAAATTCACAATAATTTGTGGGAGTTACATGAGACTAATAAGTTAGAAAAAAAAAATGAATGAAAAAGCAAAGTGAAATAAAATAGCTTTATACTTGTTCTAGGAATAAAAAATCAAAAAAGATATGTTGTGTTGTAATAACTATGCATGTGTTGGAGTTAGAAAGAAAAAAGAAAACACTTGCACAATTATATATAACAGCAATTGGTAAAAATATGATAATGTTATATCATATATACATATTGGTTGGTACCTGCTTGTGCCTGCCTAACAACAGGCATGATTTTCCTGCTTTTCATCTCATCTATCAACCCCATGGCATCATCCTTTTTCCCTACTTTACATGCAGCATCAATTGCAATAGAAAACGAGACCTCATCAATGAAAACCCTTGATTGCTGCGTAAAATGCTTGAACAAGCGTAGAGCTTCATCAAGCTTCCCTATATGCCACAAGTGTTCCATCATCCGCCTCACAAACTTATGATCGATTTTAATACCTCCTGATTCCATTTCCTTACAAAGATCCAATGCCTTGTCAATATCTCCTTTCACACAATACCCTCCAATTAACTCACCATAACAATCTGCATTAGGGACAACTTCTCTAATTTTCATTTCAAGAAACATATCTTCTGCCTCTTGTAGCTTCGACTGTAATACCATAATTTGAATGATATAATAATATGGATAAACATTAAGCAACGGCTTATTCAATTTCTTTACCAACTGAAAGGCTAAATCAGTTTTCCCATTGCTGCAAAGGGCATAAATATACATACGATAAGTGAGATCATCAGGTTCAACTCCAGCCTCTTTCATTTCTTCAATCACGTTCCAAGCTTCTTTCAAACAACCCTTCTTACAAATTACGTACAACAGGAGCCCATATGTATACAAATTAGGAATCATTCCATCCCTCCTCAGTACTCTGTAAACCTGCTCTACGATATCCTCTAAGTCCTCTTTAATTAACTGGGACATTATAAAATTACACGTTTTTGTTGACACCACAAGTACACCCCTCCTTTTCATCTTGATCAAAGTGTGTATCACCTCCTTAAACTTTCCAGCACTTGCATACACCGTAAGCAACCCATTGACAGCTTTTATCAAATTTTCCTCCATCAACGCGTCAAACAGATCATCAGAAATTTTAAAACTAACAACTTCCCAATTTGTATTATCAATAACATCATTAATCACATTATTTGACCTTGCATCCATACCCCAATCCCAATGACATAACAATCGAACAACTGCCATGTAAGTTTCTAGATCATGTTTAAAACCAGACTCTTTCAATTCACGCATATATAACAGCGCACTTCTACGTTCTCTTTTCGACTGCTCCAAGAGGGTTTCATTAATTACCTTGAACTTACGGAGTTTTTCAAGCGCACGACATAACACATTGGTATCCGAAGAAGAGTCTGACACGTCGGAGCATGTTGTATAGACAAGCGAACTAACACGTTGGAGATTCCATGAACGTTTTACCAAATTACAGCAAGAAGCCAACCGGGTAAAGGGAGGCGGCATAGCGTTTGAGGTTAATCTTTAGGGTTTAGGTCCCTTGGTAAAAAACAACGTTTTAAGTGTAAGTTTATAAATGGGTTATTGTCACTTAATTCCAACATGTTTCACATGTTGGTTTAAATGATACTTGTGATTATTTTTTGCCTTTGAACTTTGAAGAATACAAACTTGTGTTTTACTTGTTGATTTTGTAACTTTACCTATTTTTGAAGGTTATTATGTCTTGTCAACTACCAACTAAACTTAGTGGTGAGTCTCACTCATCGTTGTGATGTAAGCCAAGAGTTATTACGTACATCTATTTACTTCCACCAACCCTCCAACATACATCGGTCATGATCTTTGCACATCTTTGGAATCAAGTTTCTTCTCCATTCGCCCTGCTTTTATCCCGCCAGCAAGTGATCCCCCAAACCACCACCATAGTCCCGACTTCCGACATGAACCAAAGTCATTTGTTTGAGCACAAATTTAACCTGAAAATAAATGAACACGATGAACCCAGAAATCATCATATTCCTTTCACCATTTTCATGAAACTCAGCATTCGAAGAGTGTTAATGGTTGGTGCCTTCATCGGTCTTACTTTCTTCTTCATGATTCCTATAGCATTTGTTCAAACTTTGGCCAACATTGAATCAATCGAGAAAGTTGTTCCGTTTCTGAAACCCATTATCAATATGTAAGTGGATATGAACCAAAAACTGATAATTTTTTTTTATGAAACTAGAATTGTAGAATGAGGTTGTTCGTAATGGTATCATTACAGTGGAACTATAAAGGCGATTATTTAAGGGTTTCTTCCTCGGATCATGTTGAAGATCTAATGAGTTGGATTCCTCGTTGTTGTGTCTGTACACAAACGGATGCACTCTATTGCGATTTGAATGAAACAAACATAGTTGGAACAAGAGATTTCGGGTCACCAATCACTCTCTCTTTCCTCTACTTACTGAAAACGAAATCATTTGATTAAAATCTGTACATTTGAAAAAAAATGAATCTTGATGATCGATATTTTCTTTGTAGCTCAATTTCTCGATTTCTTCTGTATAGTAGTCAATTGCGTCAATCTTCTTGTTCAGGAATGCGAAATTGGTCTGACTAAAGACCCTAAGTTCTCAATTGCCATAAATTGTTGTTAAATCCTGTGACAAATTCTACTTTTCCCCACTCAATCGCTCTGATTTCTATTTCTTTTCTCTGTAAATCAAATTTCCGGTGATTAGTTATTGATTGACTCGAAAGAAACTTAAAGGGTTAACAATGGAGACACTACAGTCATCACGAAGCATCACAAGATCACAAGTTATGGTTATGGCTTCCGAGAACAGAAAAGCGACAACACCAGTGTAACCATAGCATCACGTGAGTTTTCTGTCGTAATTTAATCTCGTTTTTCAATAATTACTCAAATGGTTTTCGTGTTTTGATTTTTTTCATCTCTGTTTTAGTAGATGAAAACGATGAATCTATGAAAGACGTTGAAACTGTGGAAGCTAGACCAAAGAAATTATCTACGAGCCACTTGTTGTGATGTACACCACGTGTTTGTGGAAATGATCCACCACCTGCAAAGAAGGAAAGGAGGATGGTGTATTACACAGTGGTGGATGATGGGAACGTTGATGGATGAAGACAAGGAAGAAGAAGGTGGTGGGCACGAGATTGTTGCCAACAAGATATCTTTAATAGCTACTGTCTAGAGAGAGAGGGAGAGAGAGAGAGATGAGGTGGATTAGCTATATCACATTTGCAAACTCATGATTAGGATGAGGTCATCGGGTAACCCCTTCAAAATTTCCAAAAGGACGTTTTAAAATCTAAAAAATACAAGTTCGTGCCCTTCAAATGCGTAAAATAGTCACAAATGACCATTTAAACCAATATATTAAAGTTTGTTGGGCTATAGGGACAATAACTCTTTAGAAATTACTAGTTTCACAACAAGGAATCAAGGCAATAGGGGCGACATTTGTTGTCCCTAAAGCCTTTAAAAATCGTCCATAAAGCTTTTAGCGACGATACATCGTCTCTAATACGTTGTCACTATTGCCGCGTAGCTATTGCTCAACAGTCGTCACTAATATGGTTGTCGACCATATTGGTGTCGCCTCTATTGATGTATGTCGTCCCTATTGGTGTCGCCCCTATTGCTAATAAATTTTTTTAATAAAAAAATTATTGATTGCAGTATTACTATATGATTATGATGTTCATCGTGAATGAAGTTCATCCATGTTCTACATATATTCCTTAAAATGGTTGAAGATTACAAAAAAAAAAAAAAAAAAAAACCAAATAAAAGACATAGCAAACACAAAGTAAAAAAAAAATATATTCACATTAATCTAACAAAGTTTACTTCAATTTTTTTATATCTAACAAAATCCACAAAAGTTATTAACTTTAATATTACAAAGAAAAAATTATATTTCTTGAACTCTCTAACATTCACTTTCTCTGTAACTTTCTATGTAATGAAAAATCTATCTCTTTAACTCTCTAACATTCTCTTTCTCAGCAACTTTCTATCTCCTTGTTTCTTAGATTGAAAACCAAGTGAAGATGGTGCTTGAAGGTGGCTGATGGCCGAGGTGTAGTTTGATGATGGCTGATGGCAGAGAATGGTGGAAGATGGTGCGGTTGTAGTATTTTTGTTGGAGTTTGATTATGGAAAATAGTGGTAGATGATGAGGTGGTGCAAGAATAAGGTGGTTCTAGTAGTGGTGGATGGTGGCCAAGTTTGGTGGTGGTGGTGGTTATAGTTTAACTTTTGAGAGAGAGAGAGAGAGAGAGAGAGATAAGAGAGAGGTAGAGTATGGTGGTGGATTAGCTTATCAGATCATGAGAACAAAGGTGTACCGTTCGATTGTCAACGAGATGGAGGGCCTGGATTACACAAAAAGAGAGCACACGGATTGTGAGCAATAGTGACGACACTATTAGTGACGACATGAAAAATGTGTGTGTGTGTGTGGGGGGGGGGAATATGACGGTCTTTTTTCGTCGGCATTAGTGACGACACCAATAGGGGCGACAGGGGCATTAGTGACGACATTCCCCGGTGTCGCCACTAATTCATGTGTCGTCTCTATTGGTGTTGTCACTAATACCTTGTAGTGTTTATAACCTGAGAGATGTCAGTTACAAAATTAAACTTTCATAGTTAAATTTCAAAATTACTAATCAATTATTTAAAATAAATTATTAATTAAGATATATTTTTTTAGTTATATAAAATTATAATTGTTGATTTAAATAAATACACATATATCACTTTATAATCTATATTAATTTTATTTTAAATTTTATTCTAATTTTATTAATTTAATGTAATCAGAATGAGAAATTTAAAATTTGAAATCAAGAGTGAATATGTTGACAAGAGATGTAACTTTAGTTAGAAGGCTTAATAGGATGACATGAAAAAAAAAAAAAAAAAAAAAAAAAAAAAAAAAAAAAAAAAAAAACATATTCTTTTATTGAAATAGGGATGACATGAGTATTCTTTATGGTTTTATTATCTATTATCTTTAAGAGTTGCAGACCACTATAGCTACATTAGTTTTTGTTGTTAAGTTTGTTAAAAAGACCTTTTTTCATTTTTTTTTATTTTCTTATTATTATTGTTTATGGACACTACAAGAAATATTTCCATTATTAGTGACACCAATAGCGGCGACAACATCAATATGTTGCCGGTAATGCTTAGTGACCCGAATCCATGTTTTCACATTTTGGTAAATGTCAATCGTTCGATTGTGTTTCTAATCCATTGACTGAGGTGGTCGTGGAACGCATAAAACCAATACCGACGACAGAAAGTCGCCGCTAAAGACCTAAAATTGTCGCCGCTAAAGGTCGAAAAAAATGTGCCTTCATTTCCCTCTTCGTATGTCACCGCTATTGGTTCGTGTCGCCGGTAAATCTTTAGTTGTCACTGCTATTAGGCGTCGCTGCTAAAGGTCGATGCAGATTTCACCCAACTGATTCTGTTTTCTACCTTGTGCTCTCATTTTCTTCCATTTCTCATTTGTTCCGACATTCTCCCTCTCCCAACGATTCTCCCGCCGATTCTCTCCATAATAGAAGACACACCTGCAACCACCATAAACTTTCCCTCTCCGGCCACCGACGCTATTATTGTTGTTGATTTCCTCCTCCAAGGTTCGTGTTTCCTTCCGCATTTCTTCATTTCTTTCTATTTTAATGTCGATTTCCATAAGCATTTCATATTAATTGCATATATTTTTTTGGGAAAATGACTCTTGAGGGTAATTAACTTTTGCGTTTGAACTCATTTGGTCCCTTTTTTTTGTATTCAATATACCATCGAACTTGTTGTTGGTGTTTACCATAGCCCTTTTGACCAGCTTTTGACCTGTGATATATATATATATATATATATATATATATATATATATATATATATATATATATATACTTACGTTTAAATGTTTTTACTATCTATTGTGTGCATGTATGATTAATTCTAGACCAATCATTTTAGTTATTTTAAGAAAATAATTAATGCATATTAAATGGTGAAGATGTAATTAATATCCATTATATTTTCAACATGTAATATGCATTAATTACTTTCTTAAAATAACTAAAATGATTGGTCTAAAATAAATCATACATACACACAATAAATAGTGAAAACAAAATAACCTAAGCCTATATATATATATATATATATATATATATATATATATATATATATATATATATATATATATATATATATATATATATATATATATATATATATGTGGGAGTTACATGAGACTAATAAGATAGAAAAAAAAATGAACGAAAAATCAAAGTGAAATAAAATAGTTTTAATTACCTGTTCTAGGATTAAAAAAATAAAAAAAAATGTTGTGTTGTAATAATTATGCAAGTGTTCGGAGTTAGAAAGAAAAAAGAAAACACTTGCACAATTATTATATATATATATAACAGCAATTGGTAAAAATATGATATTGTTATATCGTATACATAAATTGGTTGGTACCTGCTTGTGCCTGCCTATCAATAGGCATGATGTTCCTGCTTTTCATCTCATCTATCAACCCCATGGCATCATCCATTTTCCCTACGTTACATGCAGCATAAATCGCAATACAAAACGAGACCTCATCAATGAAAACCCTTGATTGCTGTGTAAAATGCTTGAACAAGCATAGAGCTTCATCAAGCTTCCCTATTCGCCACAAGTGTTCCATCATCTGCCTCACAAACTTCCCATCGGTTTTAATACCTCCTGATTCCATTTCCTTACAAAGATCCAATGCCTTGTCAGTATCCCCTTTCAGACAATACCCTCGAATTAACTCGCCATAACAATCTGCGTCAGTATCCCCAATTTGTATTATCAATGACATCATTAATCACATTATTTGACCTTGCATCCATACCCCAATCCCAATGACACAACAATCGAACAACTGCCATGTAAGTTTCTAAATCATGTTTAAAACCAGACTCTTTCAGTTGACGTATAAATAACAACGCACTGCTCCGTTCTCTTTTCGACTGCTCCAAGAGGGTTGCATTAATTACCTTGAACTTACCGAGTTTTTCAAGCGCACGACATAACACATTGGTATCCGAAGAAGAGTCTGACACGTCGGAGCATGTTGTATAGACAAGCGAACTAACACGTCCGAGATTCCATGAACGTTTCACCAAATTACAGCAAGAAGCCAACCGGGTAAAAGGAGGCGGCATAGCGATTGAGGTTACTCTTTAGGGTTTACGGTCTGGTGTTGGTAAAAAAACCTAAGTCTAAGTTTATAAATGGGTTATTGTCCTAAAAATTAAAAATATAGCTAAATCCCTTAATTAACTTGTAGAAAATAACCAAAAAAATAAAAAAAACACTCAAATTACAAATATAACTATGAAAATCGCAAATGAATTAAGTTCATTTGCGATTTTAGCATTCATTTGCGAACGTACAAGTCGCTAAAGTACAATGTTTTAATGACTTTTACGTTCGCAGGTGGTTTCTTTTAATTTTTTTGTTTTTTTTTCCAAATAAATATCTCTATTTCTAACTAAAATCATAGATGAATTAAGTTCATCTGCGATTTCCCCTCATCACACCTATGATTTGGCATTATTTTATTATACATAAAGTTTTGTAAAAAAATTATCAATTTAGTTGTTATTTCTTTGAAAATTTTATCTAAAACATCTATAATAAAATGAATTCTTCAACAAAAAATTTGAAAAATGCTTGAAAAATGAAATCGTTGATAGTGTCTCTAGAGAGAGAGTTCTCCAACAAAAAAGTTTGAAAAATGAAAGAAAAATGAAAAAAAAAAAGGAAATTACAGATGGACTAAGTTCATCTATGAACATACAAGTCGCTAAAGCACATATGTGCTTTAGCGATTTATACGTTCTCAAATGGGCAAGTAAAATCGCAGATGTACTGAGTCCATCTACGATTTTGGTAGTTATTTTTGTAATTTGGGTTTTTTTGGCTATTTTCCACAAAGTAATTAACGGATTATGTTATATTTGTAATTTTCTCTTTGTATAATGGTTTAAATGGTAACTCGTGATTATTCTTTAGCTTTGAAGGGCACAAACTTATGTTTTATCGGTTACCCATTTTTGAAGGTTATACCGTCTTGTCAACTGCCAACTGTAACACCGTAAATTTTCAGACAAAATTTTCATTTTAAAATCACATAATTCTCATAACACCTTTCACAAAAATCCCATTTATTTAATATACAAAATACAACTCCATAAATGTTCGATTAATAATCCAACATCCTCAAAACATAACTCTTCCTCTGGTGTGTACAATCAAGCCAACGCCTTCCCGCAATCCTGACGAGAACCTTAATCACATATCACATAACACAGTAAGCACGAAGCTTAGTGAGTTCCCCAAAATACTACACGTATCTCATTAGCCTCCCATGGTTATACTCAGATAAGTCCCTCTGGTCACTGTGTCTCAGTGGGTCCCTTCGGTCCCACAACTCGGGTGGACCCTCTAGTCCTAACTCTATAAGCTCAGAATAATACATAACATAAATCACAAAGACATAATGCAGGATATCAAATACTCCATATAAGCACATAAGACCCTCCAGTCACACAAAGCTTACCACTCTAGATAAATATAGTGAGAAGACTCGCCTCAGATGATGAACAACTCCTATAAATGTTGCTGCTGCACCAGCCTCTAACACTGGACCAAAATCCACAATTACCCGAATAATATTTAAATCCAAATCCTCGCTCTTTAGGTCTAAAGGTAGTCCACTAACTAGCCTATTAATAACCTAAAATTCATTGGGCCCACCAAGGCCCAATAATGAATGGGATCTCCCGAGGCCCAACTCTCAAGTCCAAGTGACAAGCCCACCATAAGGACCCAAGGCATATACATAATATTTCTCTGCTCAAAGTCTCTAGTACACAAGCCCAAAGATCCATGTCCAACCCTTAAGGCCTATTATAAGATTTTAGCCCAAAAAAGGCCCACAACAAGGTTACGCGGGACGTACCTCCCTTGGTACGCTCAACATGCACAAGCATGCACGAAATCTGATTGGGGACACCAACCCAGTACGCGGGGCGTACTAGGATTACGCTCGGCGTACGTCCAGTATGACTCTTCTCACTTTCTTGGTCTTAACCCATTAAGACCTTAGCTCATATCGCATATCTGGACTCCCTAGAGGCTCTTACTCCATAAAGTCTATGACTTTAAGCTTTTGCATGGCTGGTAAAGTCACAAACACCCAAAACTCTCATTTTCTCATCTCAAAATGCACATATCTCATGCATGGGTTGATTCAAACGTCCAAGTCTCGATTTTTATAACTCCACACCACTAAAGACACTCAAAGAAGCTGATAATAAACTCTGGAGCTCAATATCTCATAAAGTCTCCAACTTTGGGACAAAACCCCTAAAATACACTAGAATGCTGCACAAATGAAAAGAGTGAGAAAGCTTTGAGCTTTATACCTCAATATGAAGCTTCCAACTCAGATAAGCTCAGATCTAAAGCTTGGAATCCGACTCCTTCTTCAAGGCTCCGTCTTCACTCCAAAGAAACACAAGATCACTCAATAGCTCACAAATGGACATACAACTCAATGGATGAGTATTTAGGGTTTGAGTGGGTTGATTATCTGAGGATGGTGGCCATGAATGAGGCCATCTTATTCTTTATATAGGGACACCCCCTCATTTTGGGTTTTCACTTTGTGTCTAGTACGCCTAGCGTACCCTCTAGTACGCCCAGTGTACTCAACTGCCACCTTTCTCAAATAAGGGACCTATCTTGACAAAACGTCAAACTTCCATAAATTCCTCGATATAACTCCGTTTCCAATGAACCACATATCCACAGAAAGGTGAAGAGAAGCCCTACGCTTCTAGCAACTCGTCTCAGCCTCGAGGATTCCTTATTGCCCTGGTTGTAGCCCACGAACCCTAATCACAGACGATCCGAAACAGGATGTTACAGTTCTCCAAATGTTACCCACTGCACACCCAATCAAATGACTTACCAGCTTCCTTCTCATAACAACTATCTTGGCCCATCGTGACACACAAGTCACAAAGTTCGCTTTACCCCAAGCGAACACTACAACCCCACCTGAAGTCGTCTCACCTCTGACCTTTTTTGTCTACCACCTACTGGTTCCATTCATCTCGCGGTTCTTCCCATACCATGAAACAGACCCATTTCGGTCTAAGACATCAGATGGAGATCAATACCCCTCAAAATGAAACCCATCTACGAATCCGAAACCTCATCTCGCCTACTTAATACACGAATTGTCCCCAACTCAACTCGAGAGTCTGATTCAACAGCAGAATTGGAACCACTCATTTCCAATCTGATACTCAACCCATACCCGCGATTCACAAATTTATGCACACACCATCTCTCCAATTCCTTCCGATTACGATAATCCCTCCTCAACCTGGGATATAACAACTCCCGACCATCACAGAGACCCCAATCTCGCCCCTGGTCTGGTAACCAGTTTCCCGGAGCCTCAAGTGGTAAGGCTACCCAAGCCTAAGAACTCCTCTGCATCATGCTATGACTAGTGAATACTACAGCTCCTCGCAGAACAGTATTCACTCTTAGCGACTACTAAGTGTTACGGTTCACTCGTAGTCTTAATATGCTCCTTTATTGACTCATGAATGCTACGGCTCCTTGCAAATTTAAGACACCCTCTCACTGACTCGTGAGTACTACGGCTCTCCGCAGTATCACAACACTCTCCCAATATCCAGTAAATACTACGGATCCTCACAGTATCACGACACTCTCTTACTGACTAGCAAATACTATGGATCCCTGCCGCACCATGATACCCTCTCCCATTGACTCATGGATGCTGCTGCTCCTGTTTAGTGCTCGTTAATGAACTAAAAAGCTAATTTTTGTCCCTGGATGTTACAATATACATCATTTTTTAGGCTTAAATAGATAAATTTACATTAATGAGTGTAATAGACATAATATTTCCTGGTTGGTATTTTTGTTCCCATTCAGTTGGGTTTTTGACCTGTTTTTCATGGGTTCCTCATCTCTTATTCTATAGGACGATGGGAGTTGGGCTTCTTCTTATGAAGTCCAAAGTTCTTAAAGGAATTGACGGCTCATTAACTTGTTTTACAAGTTCACCTAAGCTTCTTAGGTCCCCTCCTCCTATTCTACAGGTTGGTAAGAGATGGTTTTCTTGCACGAAATCCATAATATAGCACCACATGCTTCTCATCTGAATTGACGGCTTTCATCATCACTTGTCATCACAAGTGCAACTCGAGTTTCTTGAGTTCCCCCCCCCCCCACACCTATTCTACAGGTTGGTGGGAGTTGGTTTTCTTTGCACGAAATCCAAATTATAGCACATTGGGCTTTGCATCGGAATTGACGGTATTCATTTTTACTTGTTAATGCAAGTGCAACTTGTGTTTCATGGGTTCCCCACTGCCTAGTCTACGGGTCTTGGTGGGAGTTGGACTTCCTCTTATGAAGTTCAAAAATCTATAAGGAATTGATGGATTTTATCTTGTGTATACAAGATTGCCTAAGCTTCTTAGGCCCCCACCACTTATTCTACGAGTCTTGATGGGAGTTGGACTCATATTATAATATCCAAATGGTTTCGGCAAGGAAAGCACAGATTCGAAAGAAAAAAAAATTTCATCACGAGCAAATAAAGGCGAATAAAAGATGTTTGGTAGATTGACCATGTCTCGGTGTTTTCATCATATATGGCTCCTCGGGACTCTAATTCAAGCGACTCAAGATGTTCCGGAAACTAGACACAATTATCTACAAGTTTCGTTTTTTTGAGTTTTCACTAATTTAGTCATTTTTCAGTTAAAAATCGACTTAGAAGTTGGGATCTATTTGCTTGACGAAAATCAAAAGCTAAAATTAAAAAAAAATGAATTAAAGTTGAAAGATCAAGGGCTAAATTTGTACCATGCTGAACTTGAAAGATACGAGGGGTAATGGTGCTGAATTCCTGAAAGTGGAAGGATCATTCATGCACTTATGCTTTATATATATATATATATATATATATATATATATATATATATATATATATATATATATATATATATAGGTAGGTTCAAATGTTTTTCATATCTATTGTGTGCTACAATGCATCAATAGGAATTTAGTATTAATTATATGTATATTAAATACTATCCATACTTAT